GTTTTCTCCACGCGGAGGGGGGTGGCCCCCCTTTTTACACAATCTCCGTGATGTCTACAGGTCCTCCCTCAGCATCAGCGCCCGTGACTATGACGGGGAAGGGGGACTTGGGAGATGAACCCATGTGTTTAATAAGATCTGTGCTTGAGGGGTGCTCCCTCTCACTCACCCGTCACACCTAGCTCATCACCTAACAGATCTCCCTTGTCATTGTTGGAGCTGCTCTGCTCGTTCAATTTTTTTGGCCTTCAAGTGCCTCCCTTCAACTGATCACCTAAAACTTCATCATTTGGGCTAAAAATTTATAATCAAAAATTTAGCACTTAGACAAAAATTTTACACATAGAAAAAACATATATTAAAATTGCAAAAAATATATAAAAATTATCCTTAGACTCAAATTTTATACATCAGAAAAAATATAAATATCACAAAAATTCTACAATTTTAGCTAGACAAATATTTGAGAAATAGACTTCTGGCACATACTACATACTATCTTGTTTGGTATAATTTCTTTATTTCTTTGGGGAAGAAAGACACATTTTTCCAGATCCAAAAAGTTTGGGCTCTATATTTGATTGGTAATTACCTTCTGTCAACAGTCAGGGGAGGAATCATACAGGTTTACATTCTTGGGGCCACTTTTCTTTTGGGTATGATTAATCTGATTAATGCATATAGTTTTTACATGTTTTACTGATGCATGTAGATCTATTCCAACAATGATCTGAATAGGATAATTCTTTTTTCAGGCATTAACTGTATCAATGGCTGATATACCAGGTACTAGTTGAGCTTTATTGGAGTGCCTTTTGGGTCAGATACTGACATATTTCCCTGCAGATTTCACCAAGTTTGTTGATTCTAATGGGACCAAATATCAATGCCAGTACTGTATGACACGGAAAATCACATATGTTTCTGACCACTTAAGCCTCCCATCACACAAGGAGGCAGTCAGGAGATACTGTGCAATGGTGGATAATCTGACTCCTAGGGAGGTAAGTGTGGGAAACCAGACATTGGATCACTCACCTCCTGGGCTTCCCAGCCACCTGGTAGAGGATTCCCAATGTTTGGGCCCAATCGGTGTGGGAACTCCTTTGGGAATGGTGGCAGTCCTGTGAGGGGAAAATAGCAGATGAGATATATCCCATATGTAATGATCTTCTACAACTGTTACGGCTTGTTTGAAAGACCTGCCCCTCTATTGTACTACACAAGAGTTAACACAACAAATTATTTATTGTTGTGGCAAAACTGATGATAGAGAAAACTATGTGTAGCAGTCTCCTATCAAACCTAGATCAACATGGATTCAGCAGACTATTTGAGTGGAATTTTTGAATAAGAGGTGTTTTTTTTATGTTTATGTATTTTGAAAAATGATTGATGTATGTAATGATAGTGAATGGGAATTTATGAGATACTACTGGGAAAACAAATGTGCTTATTGAGGTATATTTTCCCTTTGTCCTTAATCCTTGGTGGGGGGGGCACAATAGTTTAAGATCACTGTCTCTTGTTTAAGATCACAAGTTGAACTGGTTGTTACTTTCTTTTTCTTATGCTTCTCAATGTCTGAATGATCTCAATGGGGCACTTGATTAAGATCACACTGGTTAATGTATGAATTGATTGCTCTGTTCTGTCTGGTTGATGATCAGATGAGATGATGATCTGTTGTGATGAGATGAAATGAGATCCTGAAAAATTGGTATGAGGGGGGAAAGCCCCTCCATAAATAGTCTATTTTACAACCCGGCTGACTTGTGGTTCTAGCCCTAACCTATAATCTATAAATGGCCGACTTGTAGTTCTAGCCCTAACCTATAATGAATATGCATCTAAAAATCTGGCCAAATTGTGGTTTTGCTACTATACAAGATTCTCAGTGTACCTACAAGTAATGTGGCCAACTTGTGGTTACACTATGCAATGAATATTGAATATGTAAAAAAAACAATGCCAACTTGTGGTTTACATTATGCAATAAGCATTATGTATGCAAATAAAATTTAAATCCCAAATAACTTTTGACTGAGTGGAGCTAGCCTAGTGGTTTCAGTGAGTGACTATGGGTTAAATAACCCATAGAATGTGATTATGCCATAATAAACCTAAGAATATATGCCCTTCTACATATTGGACTGTGACTTTATGCAATTTGATACTTGAAACACAATTGGCATACTACATTGTTAATCACCAGTCTGAACTGGGTCATCATCAGCCTATGAATATTGATTTGGACAAAGGCAGGGCTCTAGGAGACACCTTTGATCTTCCAGCACAAATGCCTTGCGAGAAAATAGTGGAAACCACAATCAGGGATGGGGAGGATTTGGGCTTTGGGTCTGACTCATCAGATATTGAAGAGGCACCATCAGATTATTCAGAAGAGTTTTGCACATGGGAGGTATTTGGAGATACTGACATTCTTGAGGCAACTGCCGCAGTGGCTGAAGCTCCTAGGACTGCCAGAAATGATTGGGTGCCTTTTACCAGTCAGGAGGTAATAACTGTTATTGACTTGACTGATAATTCCCTTCCATGTGATTGACATTAATTCTGGTCTGTTGGGCTTGTAGGATTTCATGGCCTGCCTCATGAGTGGATATCTGCGTAAAATGCTATCACGTGTCACCTACCTGCTCCTGAGGTTGATATTGGCAATGAAGAATTTAATCCTTCCTCATTGGGACTCAGTCAGGCGAACTAAGGAAAGGATTCGAAGAATGCTTGGTTTGACAACAATTGAAACTCTCAGTGTGTGGGATAACAAGTTGTTCACCATTAGTCTCAAGGTAATATTGGCTAATGTATGTGTTTCATATAATTCATGTGTGCCCACTATGTTTCTTCAAGGGTGATTATTAATTTGTGCCTTACTCCATGTTTTAATAGGAATTGCTCAACCCACAGGTCACCAGACACTTGGAGTACTGTCCACATGACCCAACTGGAACTCAAATTGGAAGCCTTTATCAGTGTTTCAAGTGGAGAGAAGATCTATCCAGGGAACTCAGGGTCCAGATGGCATATATAGGCAGCAAGCATTACACTACATATTTGAACCAACACACCTGAAATCTGGAGAGGTGGTTATACCCACATATTTCTTCAAGGCAAACGGATCACTTTATGCTAAATGCTGTACCCCCCAATACAAGGACTCAGAATCAGGCAAGGGATTCAAGATAGTCATTCCTGGCCGAGGGATAAAATTCAGTGATCATTCCCTCACAACTGTGGATATCAAAGAATTTGATGAAATGTACTCGGAATTGTATCTGGATGACAATACAAGTTTGGATGACACGTGTGGAGGAAGACTTTTTGGTCAGTATTATGTTCACAACTGACATTGGCCTGCTATGTCACTTCATATGGTGTTACATTGAATTGACATGTGTGAAGTGTAGAATTAGTAAATGGTGACAAAGTGGAAGTGGCACTTCCCAATCCATGGAGGCAGAAAGCAAATGGGAAAATCATATGTCATGTACTAATTACCCTGTACTCTGACAATACCTCCGGGAATAGCTCCAAACAATGGAATAAACATATCTCATTCTATTTCACCTTAGCTGGACTGCATCCACACCTGACAAATCAGGAATATCATTGTCACTTCCTGGGTACCTCCAATGTGGCTGGTGTTCTTGAATTGGCGGAGCCCATAGTTGAAGAGATGAAGTGAGCCATCAGCTCTTGAATCACATTGATCCACATTTGATCAAAGCTGATGTGCATGTTTTTTCAGTGATTTGGCTACAGATGGTCATTTTGCTTATGATAGCCACCTCAAACAGGATGTACTCATCATGAGTGTGATAATGGCAGACTCTCCAATGCATGCGGAGATAACCAGCACCCCCCCTCCCCGCAAACGCCAACAGCCCATGTCGGGTATGTCAGTTGTCTGTAGCAAAGAAGGTGGACAAATCCCTGAAAGGATATGTAACATATTTCATAGGATTATCAGATGGCATGCGTCAGTTACGTATGTTCATTCTTCATAGACATCCTTAGATATTCAAATTTGACCAACAACCGACTCATTATTAGCCCCCCCCCCCGCCTCCGCAACTGGGAAGAAACCAAATCACGCTTGCACCAAGCCTGGAGGGATTCCAAGAATAAGGCCAAGACCAGTTACAATGAGGATCTCAGAAAATATGGTATGAAGGACAACATTAATGTGGAATTTGTGGAGAAGTACCACCAGAGGAACAAACCAGGTCAGAGGGAAGCCATAAACAAGCTTGAAAAAGATAATTTTGATAGATTATTCAGCCCTTTCCTCAGATTAAAAGGTGAATATGTAACTCTCATGCAATTATGTTGATACAGAGCACCTAGACTAATGTATTTTACCGTGTCACAATAGGTTTTGATGGGGCCAAAGACACACCCGTGGAAATATTACATGTGTTTCAACTTGGGATCATCAGGTACCTACTGCGAGACTTCATGTCAGGCCTGACCGATGGGAACAAAAGGACATAGAGATTGTTTGTCCGTACTTTTTGCAGGTACCTAGTACCTCCTGGGGGGTACCCCTCGCACCCGCCCTGCACCCGCCAGGAGGTGCCAGGTGCGGTACTTGGTACCTATTTTTGTGAAAAATTGAACAGGTACCTAGGTACCTCTACAGGTACCCCCTCACTTCCCTACCAAAAATCAAAATGATGGTGGCCTTCTACTCCAAGAAGGTACCTTGGCTGCATGGAAACAGGGACTCAAGGATAACGAGAAGTCTAACAAAAAATCAAAAAGGAAGGTGATGGTTTTGGATGACAATGAAGATTCTTCCAATTAGTTTCAAGTTTTAGATAGTTTAAGCTTTGCAATAAATTATTAAATATGAACAAATGAAAAAAGTGACTTGAGACTGATGTTTTACAATAAATATGAAAAAAATAGAAAAGTAAGATTCTTCCAATTAGATGTAGATATATTACAACAGATATTAAAAAATGCCAAAAAAGTGACTTGTGAGTGATATTTTACAATAAATATGAAAAATAATAATAATAATAAAGTGACTTGGGACTCTGGGAGTGAAACTAGGTGAAAAAGAGAGGGGGGTACCTGAGGTACCTGCAACAGGTACCTTGGGTACCCCCCAGCAGGTGTCTGGTGTGGTACATGGTATCTAGTTTCTTGAAAAAATGAACAGGTACCTAGGTATAAACAGGTACCTAGGTCCGAACAAACAATCTCTAAAAGGACATTAGAGGACCATTGGAGGGCATTCAATATAGATTCCTTGAATATTCCCCCACTACAAGCATATTTCATGGTCAACCATTACAAGAGCTTCATAGGTAAACACATGAAAATAGTTATTCAGGCCTCCCCGTTTGTCTTCTTCCCATTCATGACTACAGAACAGAGGGAGTTGTGGAGTTCCCTGTGTCTATTGTGTACCTATGTGTACCAGACCAAAATAGACGACATGGATCAATATATTTTGGATCTCAAGCACCACATTGATGTGTTTTTGTACCATGTGCTGCACAAAACTGCACAATGGGTGAATAAGCCCAAATTTCATATGCTGACCCATCTTCCAGATGCAATTTGGCGTTTTGGTCCGGCATGTTTATTTTCATCTGAAAAATTTGAATCATTCAATGGCTTCCTTAGGAACGCCTCAATCCACTCCAACAGACAAAGCCCAGGCAGAGATATAGCCATCACATTTGAAAACTACCAAGCCATGAGACTCATATTATCTGGGGCATTCCTCTTTTATCATAGACACATGCACCATTTCCAAACATCATTCAATGTCACAGAGGTATTTAGAACAAATAAGGGCATACAAAAATTGATGGGCATAGACATGTAAGATGAACCCAATTATCCCATAGTCATCAAAGGAGAAGCACCACTCAAAAAGACCAAAGGAGAAGCACCTGATAAATCAACACCGGAAACACCAATCCCAAAATATTTGAAGGACACATACCCAATGACCAGGTGGACGTTAGTCAGAACCATTCAAACAAGTAAATATGACACAGTACATCAGGGGATTTTTGTATTGGTGAGTTTCCATATTGATCAGAGCAAGGGTGTCCACCTGACCAAATATTTCAATGTTTCATATCAATCAAAAGACAAGACAGATCCCCCTATGTTGCAGACGTATCCAACATATGGCAAGCAAATTCACAGTCCACCACTATTTTCCTCGAAGTACAAGAATACAAGCCAGCCGGATTGAACAGAACTTACCACATGCGGGAATATGTAGCCACAAATACAGTGAAGTATGCCAGAGCTCAAGTGAGTCCAGGAATCACGTATATTGCACCAATAATATTGTATCACACATACCATACTAATGGCTAAACATGTAAATCTGTATGCAGAATGTGATATTTTGTATCAACATGCAGCACAATTGCATTGAAGGGCTGTGCAAGGTTATCACCCAAACAATCAAAAGAGAAGGAAAACAAGAAGGCACCTGCACCAAAAAAAATATCAGACACACTTCAACAAACAGTTATATCCTGAATGCTTGCTCCCTGCGATCAATCTGGGGACACCGGAGCCAATCAATGTTACCCCGGAGGGCAATATCACAGACCATGTGGAATGAAGCCATCACCAAAGGAATGATCATATGGGAGAAAGATGGCCCCCCAATCCCCACAGCAGAAACCCCAAGAGCAACCCCCCTCCCACCTATTGCACCAATATTGGACACACCCATATCAGACACCCAACAAACATCAATCCATGTTGATCCCAATTTAAGCAGGGGTCATATGTCACTGGGTGTCCCATCCACCTCACACAGTATAATACACCCATCACCTCAAGTACTTCCTGCCGCAACTCCACATTTATCTGAAGCATCAAGCTCCAGGCAGCCAGGGCACAACCAACATTCAAGAAGATCAAGCATATACAATGAAACACCAACACCAACATTCGATACCACAAGCACCAATACCAAATACCCATACGCCTTTACACCTACCACCAGTTCAGGCCCCCACCCACTCAACCCACTGCAAACTCCAAAATCATATGGCACAGTCAGCACTCCCATGCAGCAAGCCAGATATCCACCTCAGGATCTGAGTGAATCCTTGTACCAAGATCTTTGTGTTTCCAATGTGCATCATCCATACCCTCCCACACTCAACCCAACATCTGGCCAGGGCCCACAGGCCCCACACAAACCTCAACATACATCTGGGACACACAGTCATTTCCAGCATGATTGTGGATATCCAACACAAGCTCACCCCAGCCACTGGTCCCAAGAATCAAGTGTGTACCATTGCCACACCATGAAACAAGCCCACCAGGGCCAAATCACCCAAGTGCCAGTGCTCCATCCTGGGCCAAGAAGAATGAGCATTTCAGAGTCCACGAATTTAATGCCAACGGGAACCACATCAAAAAAGAGAACAATAGACCAAAATTACACTGAGGGACCCCAAAAGATGAGCACATCATCCTTGTGCAACAGTTTCACAAGGCTGAACAATCCACAAGACACAGCAACAAACCATTCAAGTAGCCCACAAGGAATGAAAACACCCACATACCTGTCCCCCCAAACCTCAAGAGCACATTCATCTTCCCCCATCAGGCCTCATCACAGAGAAAAGGCCTATTCATCCACCAAAAACCCACCCAAACGCCTTGAATCAGTGGTTAGAGGGATGAACAACCGCCCTCCGGGAAATGCTCCCCATGAATACACCTCTCCCAGGAAACTTCTTAGCCCCCCAAAAAATTCCCAAACCAGTGAAACACCAAACAATCAACACCACTCCATCAGTAAACAGGTTGGGCCACAGCCTTATCCACCTGTTCAACATGATTACATCAATGAACTACCAACAATTATCAGACCATATGTGGGGCAAATCATCAATGTCAAGGGAGATGGACACTGTGGCTTCAGGGCTGTGGCATACTGCCTAAGGAAAGGAGAAGGTCATTACATTCCTATATGACAAAAAGTGGTGGAAGAACTGCGGAAAAACCGTAAATACTACATGCGGCAAGATCCCAACATGAATGTAGAAGAAACCATAAAAATTGCCAACGTGACGGATCCACGGCCATGTGGAGTAGCACATTGGATGCTCATGCCTTCATTTGGGCGACCCATGGCCAATGAATTTAAGACTGCAGTCATTTTTTATTCTGAAACATGGAGTGAATCATTCTTCCCTGACTTCATTCAGCCTAATGCCAACCCACCAATCATATTTGCATTAATTCATAGGGCTAGCCATTTTGTTGCCATAAAATTCAAGGACCCATCTCTCTTCCCTGCCCCAAGACCTGTAGGCACACATGGGATTCCATTTTCTGGTGCACATGGGGCATGGCAAGCCAAGTATTCAGATGTATTGGCTTGTATAACTCTTTGAACACATAGCCCTGTATGTGTAGATAAAATAAGATCAAGGGGATTAATAAAGGCACCTCCCTTTTCTGCTATCCATATCCACACCCGGTTTTTCACACCTGCTTTTCTTCTTCTACACCCGGTTTTTCCCAGCCTTTTTAATTCATTCTTTGGGTATTCCAAATTTCCTCAAAATCATTTAAAATTTAAAATTCAGCATTATTTTTGGGCATGTTAAAAAGTGCCAAAAGAGCATTACTTTTTTTTTCTCACCCATTTTTTCCCAATTTTTTTCTCCCTATGAATTATTGAAAACATGAATTATAGGCCAATTTTTCAATTTGTCTTCTCCATATAGATGTTACCCTTCAAGATCTTCCTTATTTTATCCATTTGCTTATTCCACAAAACCAACAACACTGGGATTTCCAAAATGAAATCAAATTTGGTTCTTTATATGACCATGTACCAGTCATCCACCAATTAACTCCAGATCAAAAATCCCACAAATAACTGCCAAAATATGAGACCACAGTGATCATGGCACAGAATACCAATAAATAACCATGTGACACACATGAAATATCTAACATCACAGTCAACATAGCAAAATTCATCAGACATTGAATTCCAGTAATTGATTTCAAGATATTGATCAAAGAAAGATGTGAGACAACTGTCATAGATTTCATGACACTACAGCTGGGACAACATGGCAATCAAACAATCACAAAATGACAATAATTGATGGAATTCAAGCAAGAGATAGAATCTAGTTAAAACAACTAAGCAGCCAGAGTAGTTAAGCTACAATTGAGGTTCAGAAAGCAATGAGGCCTTCTTTACCCCAACCAAGATGGCCTGGGCTGTGCCCCACTTCAATCCTAGGTTCTGCAAGTCATCAGAGGAGACACCTTGAAAAGATGACCAGTTGAAGATATCATGCTTGGCAATGATATCTTGCACAGGTTGGTACGTCAAAGGAATCTCACACAAGGCAAGAAACTTGTTCATCGTTAGAAATGTTGGGTTTCCAGAAGGCAGGCCGGATTGCGAAAAATGAACGTTCGGCCGCTTTGGAGTCGGAAGGTTGTCTTGTGCAAGGTGACGCTTGGGTACAATTAACCTCCCCTCATCTTGACCACAACCCGCCGGCTCATCAGTTACAACCACGCCATAAAGGGTTTCAGGCAAAGAATCCTGTGGAAGATAATAAGAAACTGATGATCAGAGAGGGTGATCCGACACAATAGGTTATCAAGTAGCTGGTTAATCTTACCTTGACCACCAAGGTCACTATAGCACAAGGTCGGAATTGAATAGTGTCCTCCGGGACATTGAGGTACATCGTGACTTTAGCATTGGGCGACAAGGTCACAGCTGCTGGTACAAAATTGTGGTAAGTCCAAATGGAGTTTGGACTGGCAGTGGCCTCATTGGCCACATCTTTCGGCTCAACTACAGAGTAATACCATTTGAGTACTAACCCCCGCTTGGCTTGAATAGCAGCCATGTCAATTGGATACTTGGAGGGGCTTTTGTTGCGGAGATGATCGAATACGAGCACCTTCATCGTTGACAGTGACAAGCCGGTATAGTCCAGATTGATTGGGGGAAGTGGCCCTCTGTTTGTGAGGCACTTATAGACAAAAAGGTCTGGGTTGTGTTCCTTTTGAACGTTAGCGTAGACACAATATCTTACGTGAGTGGCGATGGTGGGGTTTGGCCCTCGTGAAACGACCGCTTGAATCCCCGCCCTGTCCGCAGGGCTACATGATGGAAGCTTGGCGGGTGTGGCCGACCCAGGTTGATCACCCGTCTCCGAGATCCCAGGAAGAGTGCCGGTCTGATGAGTAGGGGGTTTCAAGGTAGGTTTTCCAGGTCCCAGGAGCTCGCGCAGGTCGCAAACTCCAGGAAAAAAAACCCCGCTAAAAAAATCCTTCTGGGGGTTCTTATTTGAAGCCCCCGACCCGCCAAAAACTCCTGGACTTCTGATCAGAAGCACAAGACCTGGGAGAGTCTGGAACTTCCGACGAGTTTTACCCACTCGATTCGGGGGGGGACCAAAAGGGTTTACCTGATCTGGAGGACCCCCCCCCACAATCACCTGGAACCACATCTTGCCCCATTCATCACCGATCCCACAAGTAGATGGAAAAGTCAATTCAAGAGGCCGGACGGAGTGGTTGTTGCAGCAGAGTGAGGAATTGAGGCCTGAATTTGTTGGTTAACGTGGTGCCACCACACATAAGTGAGCGTGGGCACCACAGGGAAATGATCAGTCGTACCACAGGGAAATGATCAGTTGTTCCCCATGGTAATGACGAGAATCCCTGGTGAAGACCTCATCATTGGGAATCCTTGTCGAAGGTTGCCACGGGAATCCCAGTGATGAGGTCTTCACCGGGAATCCCATCGTGACCACCTCATGCAGACAAGGTGGTGAAAATCACGGCGGGTTGGGTGAATTCCACCTGGGTTTCACGGAGTTGGCGTCACCCGTGGGATCCACAATCCCGCTTGGCAAGAAGTGCCCCTGGGGTGTATTTTCTAATCCAAATTTCTCGACAATGCATCTTACCATTTGAGCCAGGTATTTGCCTGTGTGCCTTTCCTTGAGCTGCACAAAGTCCAGGGGCATTGCATCCAAATTCGTATTACTGGCGCCATCGTCCAGAAGTCAATATACCACCGTGCCAATCATATTGTATCCATTTGGAGATTGCCACACATCAACACCCAAGTAAAGCGCCCCCTCATGCATCTGAATAGTACAAAAAATAAGTATGAACTGCAGTCAGAAATCAGTGATGTTTGATGGAAAGAAAATATTAGCCAACCAAATGTCAATTACTCACCTTTAACTCCTCACATAGCTTCTCCTGAACACATAAGTAGAGCGTATGAACACCTTTGGAAATAGTCGTTTGACTCGGAAGGTGCTTCAAGATTGTCAGATGAAGGATTCTCTTCAGGCTGATTCCTTCTAAGGCTGAGATGGCACACCAGTGACACATCATTGCAAAACCTGAGGAAACATTTCAGGTAAGAATTAATAAATATCCAAAATGGAAAAGCACTAACCTCCCGTGGATCGATATCACCTGTCCCTGATACGCCAAGTGATGCAAGTGTCTTTTGATCTGAGGGATTTTTTGCCTTCTTTGAGCATTGAGCAACGTGTGTGAGAAGATTCCCACATGAAGACTTGTCAGCTAGTAACAGTGTTCATAGTGTAAATTGATTTAGATGATAATGATTAATGAATGATATTGATGGATATGGTTTTCTCATGTTTTACATTTCCAAGCAATCATGTACCAATCAAACTTTTCCTTCTGATCAGACATTGTTGGTGCCTCATAGGATGCATATGCAGAGCTAACTTGATTATGAGCCAGCTTCATTGCATGTTCTACATAAACAATTTCATTAATCAAAAAAAATCAACAACAATAACATGACAAAAAAATGGCCCAGTAGATTACCCAGACGCTGTTCATCCTTGAATCAGGTCCTACAGGGTTAGCACCTGAGGCGGCTGAGTCTACTTCATTGGACTCCATCGGAGGTGGATCACTCATGTCCAAGTCATCATCACGTTCAATGCGTCTTCAGATCCTCCTAGATTGACGTTCCATGTTTGAGTTCCCGGTGATTTGATTGATGTTCAACTTTGTTGAGTGGTAATCTAATGAGTTAGAATTAGTGAGGATTGAAAAGAATAATGTCAATTAAATATACCAGATTTCATCAGAGATTGGGAGGGGAAAAGAGCAATACATGAAGAGGTGTGAAGTCGCAAAGTCAGCTTACTTGTTGAGTATATAATGAGATGATCACAAAGCAGGCGCCTGAGAGCAAAGGGGATGGGGAAAATACACCAAAGAATTTTAATCAGTCAGAGTGGCAAACAAGAAATGGCAGGGGGGGGGGGGGTGAAATGAATTATGAGAAATGAAGGTGTTCTTGAAAGAAATGGCTTACTTATTGATAAGCTGACGAGATCTGGAAACAGCGGCACGAGGTGGGGTGAGTGACGTGGTTCGTGGAAGGATGAATTCATTGCACATAGATAGAGGAGAGAAGAAAGAAAAGAAACAAAAGAAACAAAAGAATCTACTATACCTGGAAACAGCGGCACGAGGTGGGGTGAGTGACGTGGTTCGTGGAAGGATGAGGAAAGAGAACTTCCACGACCGCTGTTCCAGGTGTACAAAAGAAACTGTGGAATGTGAATGAAACCTGAAATACATGTGTAAAGCAAATAGAAAAATGAATATGCAGTATGTATAGCTCAACACCCCCCCTTGCTGCACTCATGAAATGAGATAAGAAACCAAAGACGCAAGGAGAAATTAGACAGAGAGAGAGAAAAAAAAGAAGAAAGAGAAAGAGAAAAAGGAAGAGAGAAAGAATGGACGAAAAAGGAATTAGGGAACTATGCCGAAAAGTGTGCAATGTTTTTCCAGCAGCACCCAAGGCAGAGGTTTTGTCAACATGTCCGCCAGCATGTCTTTAGTGGAGACATGAAGCAGAGACATGTCACCTTCTTGAATGCATTCCCGGATAAAGTGGTATTGAGAATGAATATGTTTCGTCCTGGCATGGTGTTCCGGGTTCTTTGCAAGTGCTTCTGCTCCCTCATTGTCAACATGAAGCGGAATTGCAACGTCTGGTTGTAGGCAAAGTTCTGTGAGAAGATGTTGTAGCCATAGACCCTCTTTGTAGGAGTCGGAGAGAGCTTTGTATTCGGCTTCTGTACTAGATAGAGATACTGTGGCTTGTTTTCGAGATTGCCAGGAGATGGCACCATCACCTACCCGGTAGGTGTAGGCAGAGGTTGAGCGTCTGTCATCTCGATCTTCAGCCCAGTAAGAATCCGAGTATCCTGAGAGGACCATATCACCACCCAGGCGGAGTTTCAGGTCCTTGGTGGCAACTAGGTAGTTGAGAATTTGAAGGCCGGCATGCCAGTGGGCATCTGAGGGATCCCGGAGGTGTTGGGAGAGTCTGTTGACTGCAAAGGAGATATCAGGACGGGTACATTGAAAAACCCAGAGAAGAGATCCAATTAATTGTGGATAGGGTCCGGACGAGACCGGCTCTGATGGGTGGCGACGACCGAGGTTCTTGAAGTGTGAGTCAGTGGGAGTTGAGACAGAAGTTGGCTTTCCATCAAGAAATCTGGTACAGAGGTCTGAGATGTAATGGGCTTGATTCAGGAACACATGTCGATCGGGAAGACTTCTAGTGATCTTGAGTGACAGGAAATGGTTGAGTTCTTCATCAGCTCCAATCTTGAATTGTTGACCAATGGAGGAGATTAGCGAGTCCATAAATGGAGGTTCGCCCACGATGGCGAGATCATCAACATGAGTAGTGAGAGCACCAATGAGAGTACCATTATTTAACTTGAAGTAGAGAGTCGGGTCGTATTTTGAGTTGGATAGCCCCAAGTCAAGAAGTGCCTTGTGAAGCTCAATGTTCCACTGGCGAGGTGATTGCTTCAATCTGTAGAGAGATCTATTGACTTCACAGACCCAGTCGGGGTGTTGTGGATCCTCAAAACCTGGTGGTTGTTCCATGTAGATGGGTTTATCGAGGTGGCCATTGAGGAAAGCAGTTTTGAAGTCCACTTGTCGACCTTTCCACCCACGGCTGGCTAGGAGGCTGAAAATCAGTCGGAGAGTTTCAAGACAAAGAGTAGGAGAGAAGACCTAGTCGTAGTCAAGTCCATGGACTTGAGAGTACCCCATGGCTACTAGACGGGCCTTAAGTTTCTGAATACTCTTGTCGGGACGGCGCTTTACTTTGAAGACCCATTTGGATTTGATGATTTTTCTTTACGTGGGGCGAGGGACTAGCTTCCATGTCTGCATGCCAAGGAGGG